TATCACCTTTTATTGTTAACGTGACCCCATATGATATTTTAACTGCTGTACTTCTTTTAATTTATGTACTGATTCGCAAACTTATTTTGACAGTGTATCTTTCTCTAGCATATATGGATTGCGCAATTTACTTTGAATATTCTGAACTATAAATAAAACTTAATTTTAAGAATTTCCCTGTGGAATTTCCTTTTTATTTGACAAAATATGATGTAAACAGAGCGTATCTGCTGTTCCTCAGATTCATGGAAAAGTTTCTAGCAGGAATCATTCTTTGCAATATGTCTTTTGTTTTGAAATAAATAGCTTTGATAACCTTAATATTCATACTGTCTTGGTTCGCATAAATTATTATTCTGATGTCACTAAAAAACGGTAAAACGACCATATTTTCAAAATATCTGATTCATATTAAGCTGAGCAACACTTTTACATATCGCAGATAAATCAGTTGTAAAGTGTGATACTGTTTCTGTTTAAAAGATGAATAACCAAGTAAAAATAACCAAAAATTAAGACTAGTGAAACTAGATCATCTTTGAATCAATAATGTTTATCTTAGTCTTTCTAGTCTTTCAAATTGCATCACTCAGTGACGTCAGTTAGATAACCATAGCCAGAGAGAGTTGAACACTTACTCTGTTCTTGTTTGGGATTCGTCAGCAGTATGCACCCATGAATCAGCGAGGGAACGAAACTAGGACTTTCATGTTACTAGGTGAGCCAATTGACCATTCAGCCACTTTTACAGAATCCAATCGCCCATGAATTCTAAATTCCGGTGATTTAATTTATATTGCACCACTGCCGGCTAATTTTGTCTACTAGCACTTGTCCTCATACGCAGCTTTGTGGACCCAATCGGAGACAAATTTCAATTAGAATACCAAGCCAATTCATTCGCCAGTTAGCAGTAAGCGTTAGATTCCAACTATAGTTCTGTAAGTGGTGTCAACCTGTGATCTAATATTTTTCCTGTTTTTAGAGTTTAACTCCAAAATAATTTCAACTTAAAAATGCTGATTATTATTCGAACATTTTCTAAGAGAAAGGTTTAGGTTTTCTTTCGTTTGACTTGTTCAGCTCAGTGATGTGTTTCTTGGTATACATCGAAGTCCGAACAATTGTCAGGTTATTGGGACGATGACAAGACCATTTATGAAAATAATTGATCTTGCTTACTGCATACTATGGGAGTTTCACAGCTACATTTACAGTTTTTAAGTGGTTATCCACTTACACATAGTACACCTTTATCTGAAAAGATGAGAGCCAGTATGGCCATTAGTAGGAGATCAAATTCGATCATACACATTTTTCTATTACTCAGAAATGTTAAAGTGTAAAATCTTCAAGAGAAACTATGGTGAGTGTATGTGAAGAAATGTTAATTCCTGTTAATTTCTAAATTAATTCGGATTATTTTGTTTAAGTAGCTATTAGATGGTTGGTTCATCTCTTCAGAGTATTAGATTTAATAGATTCAATGTGTTACTCATTCCTTCACATTTATTTAGCTTTTTGCCTAAAACCGAAACTGGAAATCGGATAACTGAAGCTCTTTATCCGAGTGATTTTCACTTGATAGATAATTATATTATTATTAATTACTTTTGATTGACAGTACTAATGAAAATAAAGTCACTGTTCTATAAAATATAGATTGTTTGAATATTAAAACTAACAGTATGAAATATGGTGAATAGTGTTCCACTTTAAGCAGTTAAAACATTTGAAAATAAAGCTTCGGATCGAAAATTAAGATATATTATAGCAGATACATTGTGAGGATAATAAAGAGAGAGAGTTCAATTCATTAGTAAGTGTAGTAATTATCTTTTCTTAAAACCGTCTTAAGTTTACTTAATTTGATGCAAATCAGTAAGTTGTAAGTTACTGACACATCGGTAAAAGTATGTGTAAGCAGTGGTTACACAATGAGGTTTGTTGCTTAACTTAACTCAATAAGAGAAGCATCTACACCAAATGTATAACATACAGTTCCGTAGACGAGAATACAGTCACTCCAGAGCAGTCTGTAATCGAGCAGCAGAACACAGGCAATGGTTAGAGTAAACTTATGAATAGCAATAAAAAAAAATCACAGCACACAATGAGCAGTCGAGTTTATGGGTTGTTTAAATCAGCTAGCCTGTTCACTACCACTGGGTTTAGTTGTCTGTATGTCAAACTCACAGCCTGTTTTTCAAGACTCTTGTTCACTACATATATGCTTTCGAGACCAGTTACAAAACCTTTTTTATGAAGTTTGTGATCATGCTTCCTAAATTACTGTTGGTTTAAATTGTACAGTCTTGGAATGTCTCAGTATCAAACAATAATATAGACAAAAATAGATGGTTCGTTCATTCAGCAGTAATTTTCATGGATGATTTTATCCAATTAAGGCGTTTTAAGTTCAGTGAAACCTTACCGTTATTGTCTTTCATCCTTTCAAACAAAAATTGTCCATAATTAATACTTACTATTCAACCGTGTGATGATAGGAAGTAGGATATGAAAATAAAATAATACTTTTGTCCAGGTCTATAAAACATCTTCCTTTAATAACTCTATCGACCTTTGGTAAATCCTTTTGTGAAGTGATTATAAATTATTTGGCATGATTTGTGTTGCTGACGTCTCTTACGCAAATGATCAGTACAGTTGATCTAGAAATTGGTTGGAGGGCTTCATCATGAGCTGACATTAGTTGGAGAACCATTGGAAAACCAACAGGAAGTACTGGACAGCCAACCGTTTCACCCTAGTTTGTGATTCTTCATCACTACGCACCCACACCGCGAGGTTCAAATCCAGGACCTTTTAGCTACAAGGCGAGCTAGCTCGTAGACCATTAGGCCACTGGGACTCGATCCAATGGTCAGTCCATGAATTCTAACTTCTGCCAGCCAATTCATGACACAGCGTGATCCCTTCGCAATGTCTTCTTCGATGAGTTACTGCCTCACCCTCAACCTGCAGCACCACACTAGTCACAACTTCCCACTAGAACCCCAGGTCACCGCCGGAACACAGTCAGTCTCGAGTGAGCATCAGATCAGTTTTCAAGTATTGGTTTTCGTAGGGTTTTTCTTTGATTGGTTGGAGGATTTCATCAAGAGCTTGCCTTGTACCCAGAAGGTCCTGGTGTGGGTGCGTACTGAGGAAGAGTTCCAAACTGAGGGAAACAATTGGCTGTCCAGTACTTCCTGTTGGTTTTCCAATGGTTCTCCAACTAATGTCAGCTCATGATGAAACCTTCCAACTAAACAAACACAATCCCTGCAAAAACAATACTTGAGAATTGATTTAGAAGTCATAGTTTATTCATGAATTAAAATATCTCAATGAAAATATTTTGGAGTTCAACATTTAATTTTGTATGTTCAGTAAGTTTGGTTTCTGTCGAAATTCAATTCAGACAAGAATACTATCAAAATGGCTACAGAGTTAGATTCTTAAAATTTTCCCATATATATATGATAGTGGATATGGAGAGCAAGATTGATGCAAACTGAGCTTTTGCAGTTCTGTAAAACTCTGCATCCCCATTGCCTGGGTTTGTACACCTTCGAATACTGAGCATAGCCAAGGAAGTTGCCTTAAAGATTTTTCAACCCAGTCGGTTTACTTAGGAAGTATTTGTTCATTCCCTGTCTCTCCCATGGCCTTCATTCCCGGCCTGCAATAGTTATCTCTTCTGGTGACACTGGATAACTGCAAATATTATTGTTATTTGAACGGTAAACTTTATTCAAATTTTTATCTCATGATCTGAATGAATTACTAGTTTATATGCATTTGGTAGTTAGTGTTAACTGGATTTCAGTAATCTTATTTTATAATCAACTTGCTGACAATTTTTATAAAGCGGCTTTAGTTATACATGAAAAGAATTTGATGGATTTACTATCACATCTATCAAAGCTTACTAACAGATACATAAGGAAAATCCTAATATAGTTACGGCAATAACCATGTGTTGCGATATGAACTAAACAAGCCTAAATCTATTACTTTGACCATAATCACTAGGCTCCGGACACATGGGACATATTGTTGAAATTTTTTTTCAATCCAATGTTGGCTTACAGAAATATAGTGTGATCAATCTCGAACCACCCTGACAGTTGGAATTATTTTCGTATGGATTTTCGTTGCATCACAATCTTCCCCTAATTCTGAGCTGAACTAAATTGCCGATCTTCCAGTCTGCCTTACTGTTTGTCTTCTTAATCATTTTACTTTTAGTTGCCGTAACGTGTCACTTTAACCGGTTGCTGTTGTCCGTTTCATCATATATAATGTGCACATAAAATTCGGTCCTGCGATTAGGATTTAACTTATACTCACACCTACTGTTTCACTACTATACTATGAATTATTAGATGCATTTGTTAAATAATTGGGAAGTATGTTACAAATTTGCATTTATAATAACTTATGTTATTTTTAGGCATCTGAAGAAAAGCCATGAAGTAAGCTGTTTTTATTCTGCAAATATATTCATTCTTGCTTTGTTCGAACTAGGCAAGGTGACTGGCTGTGTGATAAATAAAGGTGCAGTAAAGAAGAAAAAAAACGCTAACTCAATTAGTTCTCCCAACTATTTTGATTAGGACTGAAGTTTAGCAACTACAGAGCGAATTGAACTCAGAATATCATGTCAATTAGACGAGTTTTATCCAAATAACCCTACTCATTACACCATAGTTTTCTTCAGATGTCTTCAGTAGTATTCCTCCATAAGACATAAAAATTCTAGTTCAAAGTACATAATAAACTAATCAATAATTTTGCAGTAAATATTATCTGAACAATTGAAACTGGCAGAAGCTGAAAAATGAAACAAGCGCGTAAATTTGATTTTCAAAAGGCATATATTTATATATCATTAAAATAACAATTCAAAGAAAACTTATGTACAGTAGACAAAGTTATGCAAACAAATACAGTCTAGTGTGTGTACACATGTCGGAATCTAGAAGCGTGTACCCATATATATATATATATATATATACTTTTCACACTAATTCATATAGATGTTCGTCCTCAAGGTCACATGCAGGAGTCATTAGGGAGGTAAGTGCTAAATAACGGCATATCATTGTCAGTGGATGCTGTATGAACAGCCTACATATATAAAAAAGAAAAAGCACAATCTTTTGTGAAGAAATTCAGATATGATCCTAACATGTTATGAAATTAAAACAGTCGTTCAGCAGAACTACCAAATTTTGAATATGTAAAAAAGAATGCCTCATGCAGCTGGCTTCTTCTGTAATACCTTGTTATTTTTTTTGTTGCAAAAACAGTTAGGTTTTTGTCTTCATGATGTTTAAGCATAGTTTGTAATTTTCACGGTTGTTGCCTATGTAACCGGTGTCATTATCACTTGTCTGTTCTTGTACTCACTTGTAGTTTATTCCTCATCAGTGTGATCACTTCACAAAAGGTTCATATTGTATCGTTTGAATTTAGTGGGAAGAAAAATTAAAAAAGAAACCCCAAAATAGGCGGTTAGAGTTTTTAGGATATACTTGAAGTTACATAGCAATTATCACTGTGTTAAGTGACTAACCGGACATATTAGTCCTGTTTATCCAATATCTCTAAGGATTTCAGTGAAATTTGTTTTATTCAGAAAAGGAGAAAAATAGTAAAAGCCAAGTTTTCCTAAAGTTTTTAGTTTTTATTTCCAACTTCTTTCCAGACAAAAAAAGGCGACAAATTTATATTATGATTCTGTGTATATATGTGTTAATTTATAGATACTTATTGTTTCATTGCTTTGTAAACGTATTACTCAGTTAGTTCATCCTTCTTTTATTAAACCTACTTGAATGAATATTTCAGTAATACACAATAGAATATTTTATTCTGATTGATGTTAGAAGTGTTTAGTGATATTTATAAGTGAATAAGAGAATTCTGATGTATATGAATTTGTTCGTGGTGATAAAGTTTTATTGCTGTCTTCAAAAAATAATATTGTTCATGCCGCTAGTTTAGTTTCTTGAGCTTCTGCGATTGAATTCGACTTTTGCGTTGATTGTGAGTCTACTGGACGATTAGAGACATGACTACTAGCTAACGGAGGTAGCCCAACGCCAAGACCATTTCGTAGAAATCGGTTGTTTTTCGATGAACTGTCGTTATCATTTTCTGATGTATTAAAATCTGCTGTCGACTGACCTCGTAAGTCTATTCTTAACGGAGTTTGAATTTTGTTTGACGATGGGTCACCTGAGTGATCATCGTTTTCTTGAAGACCATTATGATTAAAATTGTTGTTTGAATTCATCAACTCGTTATAACCATCTGTATGCGGATAAAGTTCAGATGTATTCATATTCATTGACGATGGTGTTTCATTATACTTTATTAAGCCTAATGGCATATTAGCTCCATAGTTTCTACGCAAAGTGATATTAGAACCAGGCATTTGAGGACTTCGAGGTGGAGGCACAGGAGGTAGATTGTGTTCGCCTCGAATAAGTTGAACTTGTTGTGACTGTTGTTGTTCCATTGTCTTTTGGGGTGATAATTGTGCTGGATGATAGGTAACTGCTATACCATTATTATGTCCATACTGAGCTACTGGTTGTATTAATGTATTATCTGGAACCATATAGCATGCGCATGAACCACTTGGTGCTGGGTTTTGGCAGTTAATTGAGTGAATTTTCGTCATACTTCCAGTATTATCTAGACTAGGATTTCTGTAATAACCCATCCTACTGGTTGGTCTATATCCGGAATACGTATTGTATTGGTATGTACTATGCTGTCCAGGAATATTCATTCCATCTGAAATTGAAAATAATTTTTTATTACAATTGTGCAAATTACTCGTAAAAACCAAACTGTTTTATTCTTTCACATCTTTCCAGTCCCTATAAAAAAGTGCACGCAAAAGTGAGAGTTTTATTCTCTATCCGCCTACTTAAATACATATTAGAAAACGAATTTATTCAGAAAATGCTTTCCTAACAGCTGACTTAACAGGGAATAAAGTTAACTCAACTGTATTAGGAAAATGACGGTGTCAGCATAACAGGATGGTTGCTTAGGTGAGTGACATTTATGCTAAGCTCACTTAGTTACTTAAGACATCTATGAGTTAGATAGTTTAGATTCCCAAAGTTTCATATGAAGCCGAAAATTAGCATATTTATTCCATGATTTTATTGTACTATGCAAAGTACTTATCAGATTTAAACTTGTGTTTTAAATACGACTTTTTATGTACATTTTGTCAACAAATTCCTCATTCATGGGATAGAAACAGAACACTGTTTCTTAATACTTACTATGATAAAGTTTCCTGAAGTTTGTAACTCTTGTGATAGACATCAGCCTTCATGGTGGTTTTAGACACTTTTACTCACATGTAATTACCTACTCGGAAATGACCATTGTCATATCGATCATTTGGAAATGCAGATAATGGGTTCTGCCTCTAATCATACATGGCAAAAAACAATTCGCTGGAAAATTTAACTAACGTTATTTCATAAAGTGTGAATATGTTCGAAATCTAGTGATGTTGGATTATTTTACTGAATACATCTTCTTTCTAACTTATATCATCGGTTCTCTGGTAATAATTTGGTCAAACATCGTCACTTTAGGCACTTCAAATAAACTTGATGTTTACCATCATATTTCATTTCATTGAATCACTTGAAAACTGCTAGCATAAGTGATAATGGCAATAATATTTGAAGATTATAGGCAGATTCTCTTGTACAAGTTGATGGCATACATAACACTGTATTTGAATAAAATATTGGCAGTATTTCAATTGTAAATACAGTGTTATTTATCGCACAAATACATTCCTATATGGACGATACACATTTATTTATAGACGCCACGTAATTTACTGGAAATAAGATCGACAAGAGGAGCAAATGTACAATCATATCATAATTTCCTGCGGAAAACCTTCAATACCAAGTTGAAAGCCTATAAAAAAGCTCCAGACAGACTGGAACTGAAGGTTAATACTCAAAATTTGAAGAATAAAGATGCAAAGAACAACATGGCGGTGATTCGTCAAATTCCAGAGCCATAAAGTTGTTTCATCTTGGAAACCTTCGGAAGGAAACCCGTATGGATATCTCACGCAAAAAAATAAAAACAGGGCAAGTAGTAACTCACTACGGATTCCTAGAGGCTAGTAGAAAACCAAAGGATGGAGAAGCAAAAGACGAATTCTCGAATAATGAGAAGTGAAGTTGGATTTTATCCATGGTGCATTAAATAAAAGAGTAAAGAAAAGTCCTGGGAGAGAGGAAAGACATAAATGTGATGCACTGGCGAGTGAAGCGAAATGGTCTGCGGATAAGACAGACGTCAGAACACTATCAAATATCCAAATTAATATCTGGAAAGAGAAGAACACAGATGAAACTGATAAAAGATAGTAAAGGGAAGCTAATTACCAAAAAGGGGAAACAAAGGAAATGTTGAGCTGATCACTTCAGAAGACTCTTGAATCAGCCACTGTCCTCAACTCATTTGGAAATACTATAATCCGCAATGCAACTGGCATAATACAAATCCTATGAAAAAAGGCTTTGGATATCATGAAATTACTGAAAGCAGGGATTGTTCCAAAGGCCTCGGTGAATGTGCTTAGGTCACCAATGAAGATGATTTACGTAGACGGAAAGTCACCAACAAAGTGGTAGGAAGGGGACCTTGTTAAGTTGCCAAAGAAGGATGACCTAAGGTTTTACATGAACTGCTTCTGAATCATGCTACCAACGACCCTTAAGCTTCATCATCTATCAGAGAATATACGACTGTCTGGCTGCAAATCTCCTCTCCAAACAATCTTGATTCACGGAAAACTTATCATGAAATGGCTGAATCAAAACGACAGGCAATACTGGAAAGTGGTAGTCAAGCCTTTATTTGAACTCCATCAACCTTGTAAATGTGCTTCGGTGGCACAGCAGTAGAATGCTCACCAACTACACAGGTTGTTCGGAGTTCGATCCCCGGCCGATTCACTCAGTTACTTACCTCGCTAAGCCAGTAATAAGACTGCTTAAGAGGTATGGTTGGGCATGGGGTTAGCAACCTCATCCGGCAAAAATAAACACCACTGCTACCGAAGTCTCTAACCTGAAGGCCTATGTCCCACTGGGAACGTGTAGGAATGAAAAGAAGAAAATGAAAAGACCTTGTAAAGACATTTGGTAGTAGCAACTATGAAATAATTTGGCATCTGCTTCAACACTACGAAGTGCATTGCCACAAACATTTATTTGTAAATCTCATTCAGCATCTGTATCATGGTTCTGCATACCAAATAGCTCATAACGCGAAGCCCAAAGGATAATTTGAAATAAAGACAGCAGCAAGAAAAGGTTATCTACTACTGCCAACGACATCTCTGATTGTTGTCGGCTGAATTATCCATTGGACAGTTGGGAGCGAAAAGATAGATATACGTTGAATCGATGAGAAGACTGTAAAAGATCCTAATTTCATGATTGAATTATGTCTAGTTTCATAGAAACTCGAATATTTACACGTGGAAACCCACAAGTTGCCAGAATGAGCAGCGAACACATTATATAAGGTAAACATAGGGAAGACAGAGGTGACGAATATTTCTAACCAACAATAAGCACCAACCACCACCAGTAGAAGAAATGTGAAGGGAGTTACTTCCTCTGATAACCTAGGGAGTATAGCTTGAAATAAAGGTGGGGGCACATATGAGGGTTTCAAAGCCACCAGGCCTGGAGAATCAAGACACACCATCACCCTAAAACCATTGTAGAAATTTACTACACTTAGCATAAGACACAAGATACGAATTTTCCACGCTAATTACAAATCAGTGGTTCTGTATGGTTCAGAGGCTTGAAACGCACTTCCCCAGAAGCATTTTCAGCTGATGCAGAATTTCATCAACAGCTCTCTCCGCCGGATATTGATGATTAAGTAGCCGATCACAAAGGATAGGCAACAAGCCAGTTAGTGAGCAAACCAGTTAAGAAGTTGTTGCTCAAGAAATATGCAGAAAAATAATGAGATGGTGCGGATACACTCCGAGGAGCATGTTGAGTGAAATCCCGCAGCTAACAGACCCTCAGTTCTAACCCGAATGGGAGGTAATGATTTAAGCGTTCGATGGTGGCATGGAGAATATTAAATGAAGGGTTGAAGAAAGTTGCTGAGCCAGCTACAAGTGATAGCGGAGGAACGAGTACATTCGGGGTAAGCTTTATGTTCTACTCAAAGTGTAATTATTTCATCGCTTATTATTATTATTACCTTGGGTACCGAATGGGACACAAGTAATAATAATTTTTTATTCGTTATAATTATAGGAGAGCACTAGAAAATGAATTCTATGGTTACGAGGAACTGGTAACCTTTTAGAAACTAGTGCATTTAGTGTATTCAATTTCCTAAATTAAACCAGTAAACAAGTCACTTTTGATTCAATTTCACATCGTCCTACTATTTTTTCCCTTCTGCTGTACTATGGTGTATAAAGTAAAATATATTTCTGTGTAGTCCTGATTCCATTTTAATTAGTTCAAACAATCTTATTTCGCCTTTAATCACTTCTACTAGTATGACCATCTGCCGTTATCAATCTTGTTTTTACTTCTAAATTTCGTTCAATTCTTGTCTTTTTTTTACATCAATAAATGACTAAACCTGCTTTGTTAATTTAGTTATTATAGTAATGCATTTAAAAAAGTTTTGTCACATACTAATAGTATCTACTCTAGTCTCCTTCTTTTTCACAGGAAATCGCTCTACTGTTCTTATTATTGGTATTAAAATTGGCTTACATAAAGCGAAATACCATATGGTATATTCATACCATATTGTTTCGCATGTTGTCGCTATTCCCGTTAAAGACTACACACGCAAACACAGATACACGCGCGCATAGCAAGGGAATCTTTTCGAAAATGAACATAAAAAAGTGTTTCCTCACCTTAAATTCTTTTCAAGAAAGAGGGAAAATAAACGGTAGTGACAAGAACAGAGAGACATAAACACGTAACAGTATTCATTAACCCACAAGTGATATGTAGCTGAATGTAACAAACTGATCATTTTATCTGTATAATATACGGTGCTATAAATTTAAATAATTTGTAAGGAAACATGAATACTTACATTCAGAAATATTTTTTTATCATCACATTCTTGTTGGTAAAATTGTAGTATTCATGAGGGTAATCATGTGTATATTATACGTGGACATGTATCATGCGCCTGTGTACAATTATATAAACAAATTACTGAAATGACTTGCTTTTTCATTTTAATTCAGACAAATGTATATACAAGAAATTCCCAAGTATATCATTGAAAGAAATCTCAGAAATTGTCTGCTCCAAATTAGAATTTGGTGTGTACCAATATTTTTTTTAAAGATTTTAAACTGGGAAATTAAACCGAATTTGAAACATGACTATTTGGATTGAAATCTTTTAAAATTTAGTTGTTCGTTTAAAGGAAGATAGCTAATGATTTGTCTGTTAAACAATTATATACATCTGGGAAGTGGTATGAAGTGTGTACTGGTTAAGAAGGGTGTTATCTATCATAATTATGAAAAAAAGCATCACTAAGGTGTCGAATAGTTGTATTATCCCTTTTCTCCACGCTGAATGAATGAATTTCACGTACTACTAATGTGGAATTTTAGCTAAAGCCTAAGGTGATGTGGAAAATGTCAACTAGCTATGCAGAGAACCGAAAAACACTGATGTGCATCGGAAGAATTTTACGTTGAACTGTAAAACATGAGAGAATTTTTCACTCATTGAAGACGCTTTTATATATATAGAGAATCTAATTGACATGCATACCTTAAATACCTCTGAAAGGAGGGCATAATGTATCCAGGGTTTATTTTATTCATCTTTAGCTTATTTAAGAGACTGAAATCTGCTTGTAAGTCTGAAAACGTTTTCAGTTCTGGAAAGCACACTGAGATCATCGATTCAACTAAGATGGAAAAATGATTCATCTGCAAGTCTATTTTTGATTTGATAAGACAGCTGGATAAAACTGCTGTTTCAACACTCTTAGTTTGTTCTACTCTTGTTACATTGGAATCAAACTGACTATCATGATAAGTTTAAGCTACTACAGGTTTGTATGCAAACATACAGTATTAGGTTTCAGATATTTCTCAGAATGTTTCAAAAGTTAAAAGCCTTTTCATTGAGTGTAGACATTTGTAATAATGTAATGTTTAACACATAGTGCACATATGTTTCGCGTGTAGTACATTATATGAGTTGCATACTTTCGAGTAGTAAAATGGTAGCGCTGATGTACATATCTTTAACAACAGGAGGTTTCTTACTTTCTCAACTACAGTGTTTGTGCATTTTGTTTGGATCTGTAGGTTCTTTTAGTATTAAAACTAATAAAGTTAACAAAGGGGTCAGTTATTGCATTAATGAGTTCACAGGAAGCTGAGATGAGACGTTTAGTCAGAACGGGTTTCGCCTTCGACTTCCATGGCAAGTATGCCTAACCACTACGAGTATCATAAATAAAGTAATGTCGAAAGTATTTTCTCTTCAATGATTCCAAATATGACAGTCTGCTTAAATCTCTTTTTTTATTCCTTTACGTTACCAGTGGAACATAGGGCTTCAAGCTAGAGGCTTGAAGTTTCTGTAGCAGTGGTGTCTGTTTTCACGAGATGAAGTTGCTGGCCACATGCTCAACCTTCCCTCTTTACCAGTCTTACTACTGGCTCAGCGAGGTAAAGGAGTTCGTCGGCCGGTGATCGAACCCCAGACCATGTGCATGGTTGGCGAGCGTCCTAACCAGTATGCCACCGACGCTGCTTAGATCTCTGGGCTACCTAAATTCACATCTAGTTTAATAAATAAAACAGTGTTGTTTAAATCATCCAGATATTTCCATGAATTACAACAAGTACTGGTATACGTTTTAAATCAGCTTTCAATCATCGGAGGAGGGGATCATTGGATCGTGTTTCGGATATAAATATATATATATATATATATATATATATATATATATATTTATATATATAGTTATATGTCACTGATTAGTACCTCACTTAAGATCCTATACGGAGAGTAAATATTTTTGAATAAAATACTCTGAGTATTCTGGATTGTGGTTACACACATTGTCCCAAATAAAGCTGTTATGATTACTATTCATTTTCCGAGGGTATTCTTAGTATGCATGAATTCATCACATTGCTAGCACTACAGTTGGTTTCTTTAATTCAAATGATTACGTATAAGCATTTCATTCATTCTTTTTTGAGTGAGTTTTACGCCTGTTTGGATATAATTTGCAAACACACAAGTAGAAAGGTTCAATAGTTTCACTGAAAAAGAATATGGATTGTTCTTTCGGTTTGGATGCGTAGATTTATTTAAAATATTGCAGTTATTATTGAAAATGAGGTAAACGAATTTCATAAATTACGAGTAATGTCTCACTACTTTTATTGGTTCTTATTACTGTTTCCCTTCAGTATCTGTCCTCATTTATCTTCATTATCGCAGTTTTATTTTAAATTGTCTATCAGTTTTTCTATGATAGATTTATCAAGAGAAGAAAGTGCACACATGAAAACTCCAGCACTTTTTTTAAAAATGAAAACTAGTCATTAGACGGTACTCAGTCATAGACATAGTGGTCGCGAATAATTAGAAAATTCTTTTTCGATATCCTGAAAGTTAAATATGTAAAAAGTACTTTGAAGGATTCAAACTTACTGCGATAATTATCTGTTAATAAAAATTGATTGCCTTCTTCAGATGGACCTCTCCCAGAATCTCCACTATCAGCGTCTAAATGGGGTTCGTAAGCCAGTGCACATCCTGGTGGTGCTGCAAGTACACTTTGTCCCAATGAACCACGAGTTCGTGTTAAGGTCTGGAATGCAAACAAATTTCCTGGGTACAAGTGAGGACAATATAGCAAGTAACCAGAGATGAGCACTAATTCAATTTAGAAGTCAAGTTATTGAAAATATTAATGGTGTAGAATTACTTTAACTGAAAATATCTCAGCCTGAATAAGACGTTACGTTCTAGCATGAAATTTGCACTAAATAACAAAAATATACCAAACATCATGCATAGATAATTTCTTGAAGTGACAGAAGTAACAGGACAACAGCTGTTCAGTAATTGGAATACTGCTTACGGAAATATCTTTGTCCTGTGATCCCAGTAGCATTCCGAAACAGCTAATTAGGTAGTTGTCAAGGCACTTAATCAGCAATATGCACTGGTCTGACTAGCCTGTAAATACTCGAATCTTAATGGCTGAATAGTTGACGAGCTTGCTTTGTGGCTGCAAAGTCCTGAGTTCGAATCCTGGTGGCTGAGTAGTGATGAAGAATCCCAAAATAGGATTGTTGGTTTTCCAGTGGTTATCTAAGTGATGTCAACTCACGGTCAAACTTGTAACCTGCTCATTTAAGTCAGTAGTATTTTATGTACAGTGTACGTTTAAATTGGTTGGAGTAAATGAAACACTTTCCTTGAAGCAAGTAATCGTTGTACAGGTTTGTGCGTAGTAATGCAAAATTAACGGAAAACGTTTCATTAGTAAAATAAATTTCCGCTTTTGAATGACAAGTGACAAATAAATCAACATTTCGTTTTATTTGCCACATAACTTTCTATTCATTCATTTATTCACCGAAATAAAATGTGTCCAGTAAACATGTTTTTATTTTTCGATTTGGCTTTTCAGAGAGAAAAAAAAGCGAGTGAATAAATAAAACTGGTCATTTCTGCTTATTGATTTGTGGAGTATTTTGATTGATCAGGGTTTTAAAGCCTAATTTATTTACTCATTTAGCGCATTTATTCATCCTACTTCCCCACTCACTGACTACTCCCTCACATATTCACTGATATTCATTCATTTACATTTGTTTACTACAGTTCTTGATTAAAGCGAATGATTTTTCAATGTTTACAGCTTTCTTGTGACAAAATAAACTTTTTTTTCTTTTCATTTTCAAATAATACACAACAATAATAACAAAAAAGAAATAGGAAGACAGAAGGTGATCAGTGATTTGTAAGTATTCAATAATATTACAGAGAGTAGAGGGTTCATCTTTTATCTTTCTTTTTGTCAGATAATCAGATTTAAGTAGGATAAAAGGCAAAAATATTTTTGAAATAGTTATTTATGCTTCTTTTTTTTCCCTTCCTTGGATATAAATTCTAGTGATGCAGAATTTGCTTCGTAGATACACTTTATTTTTCCGGAAAATGTGAGTAATTGAAGATTAGTTCAGTGGATCGAACGCTAACTGCAACTGTGTTTCAGAATGATATGCGTAAATCCCTTAGACTAACGTTGCTTAATAAAACCAGATTTCTGGTAGGTAGTTGGAGGACTATCGACTTAAGTGAATTGAAAAAGAGTTCTGTACAGAATCTAGTTTCTTTCTAGGATTATGAAAAGTAAGATCTGAAATGTTACCTTAGGTTAATTGGTGTGCGAGCTGTTATGCTCTGCTTTAGGCCGCGAACCTATTTTGACATTGTATATCTCAGTGATATCAAACTTATGAGCACAATGATGGGCAGATTCAGCGGTATGCAAACAACTGTTGTTTTTTCTGTAACTATGATCATTAATAGTCCTGTCTGTTATTGAGATATTCATTTAGATGCCTATGTGGTGTGGTAAATTCAAAAATTTTTGTATTTCATATTGTTTTCAAAAAATACACTGTTACGAAGTATGAAAATGTTGAAGTGCTGTTTTCCCCGTATTTCCTCCGTATTCGATAGTGAGATAAGCACTATGGCATTTTCACTAAGGTAGAAAGTTGTGGGATTCACAGATTCACTCACTCTTACATTCTTCTACTTCTATCCCTCGCTTAATAACTGGATAAAAAGAGTTTAAAAAGGCTTTTAAAATAAGACCGTCAAGGTAGAGCAGGTTGTGTTTTTGGCGACACTTATCCGCAGATGAGCTTGGACGGTATGTTGTGCCCTGAACTGATCAAAGCCGCCATTGACTGAATGGCACAATGTGTCCTCTGGAACCAATCTTTTATCAGTTGGCTCATATACACTGCTGGTAAGTTGAAAACTACGATGGGAAAAAACTGTACGGAAGTCACTCATTTCAGTACAAACACGTTGAGTAAGTGGTTTCCAGAAATCTTTACGTTTTATATATATATATATATATATATATATGAATGAACACAGTTTTAGTTCTGGCAAGTGATAACCTTCTTTTAAATAACATTTCTGCAAGAAAAACTCATTCAATAATTTGTTTTTAAAAAAATTTTATTCCGCCTACTGAATCACCTGTAAAATCTTAATGATATCCGTGAAATAATCAATCGTAGGAGTTAATGAACCTTGAATGGAAGAAAGAGATTACAAAACACATCTGTTGTTTTCATTTAAAATCCTTATTTGGCTGAAGTATTATTACTCATTATTTCCGGTCAAAATAGATTTGAAGTGTTTAACCGATTCAGAGTTGACGTAAACAATCTGTTTTGTGTTTACACACACACACACCCACGCAAAAATAGAAATACACATTAATTGAATTCAACTCTGTTTTTTTTTTCATTTCCGTAACATATGCTTTCTTACAGATGACTTAAGCATATGATTCCATTTTTTTCGCGAAATATTTTTTACAATTCTGTATTTTGCATCAACTATGCACTTGTTTTGAAAATTATTTTTTTCTTTTGGCCAACATGACCTTAAATGCTGTCAGCAAAGTGGCTAATGAGATGTACAAGAACTGTACATTGGTCGTTTTGGCATGAAATAACGTACGTATTGTTTTTTTTTTTACTGATGATAGTAATACCACCGAAAAAAATAAACAACAAAACAGTTGATGAAATAAATATCAAAAACAGTGCTGAATGCAGCCAAAAAGCTAGTGGTAAACCACAGTTATAAAGGAATCGCTAGACAGAAAACTGAAGTGGCGTAACAGCATGGATAGGCAGGGCGTTATGTAGGTACTTTGATCCTCTAAATGAAGTTTTACCAGATATACTAATAGGTAAAGTTGCACAGACTACATATGGGCGCTATATAATGGTTTACGAACACAGATTTCCTAGTAATACATTTTGCATTTACATCTGTCAGATCAAATGGTGAACGGTTTAGTAGCTTCCTCGCTAAATTTCAGTAAACCACAGATTGTCGGCAACCAATGGGCGGGCTTAACAGACAAAGGAGTCTGTATTTCACAACCTTGTGGATGACAATTGTTTAGAGCTTTCTTCTACTACAATCACTTACATCGATCGATAAATTTATTATATTTTCATTGACTTTATGGAATAGTAGCGATAAGCATCACTTTTCTTCACCACAGTTTTGCATTTGTTGAACAGTCGGTAAACTGACTGTCAGCATACGTAATACTCTCAAGATCAAAGTGTTTTTTTTCTCACCATCCCTCTCTCATTTGTGTAGTTTAACGAGACAATTTTTTTACCGCTTAATTATAGCAGAAAATGACAACCAGTATTGTGATAGAATATAACGACTGTTTTTTGACTTTAGGAAAAAACCAAAAATATTTGATACGGATCTTTCAAGGTTTAAGGGATTTCATTCATTTCGAAGTAAATTCCATCTTTTGACATTTAACGGCTAACTGAGACAATAAATAACTGGAAGTACTCGATGTTTATCCCTGAGTAGTCATCTGTAACTTTCAGGCAGCTGACTGCCTTACAAAGGTCAAAAAAACACCACAGCAATTGCTGTAGTCAGAAATGTTACAACTAGACTATTCGACATGCGACGAAGAGACTGAATCTAACTAGCCCTAAGGACTAGATATATGACATTGTTTACTCATAAGTGATCAATTAGTGACCTAAATCCCCTGGCGGCTGACTTTCTTGATTTTTGTCTGAACAGTGTAAATAAAATTACCGGATATCAAGACAATTGTTTATTATTTCATTTTTTAAAAGTAACTATATGACAAAAAGCATACCATCTAGGGAACAGATGTGATTACTGACTTCGTAAGTCTAGGGAAAAATAAATCTACATGCTGTTTCCTGCATTTTTGTATTCTTTTTTATATAGTTATTGATATATACTGCCTCTAAACGTTTCACTTTTGAATGGATAACAAATTTATTAAACTTCCAGTTAGGCTGGAAAATATTTAGTAAACTAGTAATTTGGCGCAGTTATTATCTCAGACACAACATTAACCTTTCTAATTGCGCAGGAACTGACAATCTGATTTTTATGCTAAAAGGTTTATTGATTTCATTTTAAATCTGTGGACACGCATATATATATATATATATATATATATATATATATAGTATGAACACAGTCAGATGATGCCAAACGTTTAATTTTGAAGTGAAGGAAATGAAATACTCAGAAGTATTTATGCAAGACCGGAGTTATAGTTGCCTGACAAATATAAAATGCATCTAAAGACCAAAGTAGAAAATTAATTTTCGTCTGAAAGAAAAACAAATTGGAAGGTAAGCAAACAGAAAGTAACCGTGAGATAGTGTTTATTAATGTGATCAATCATAGGTAGTCAGAAATTTTAATCGATACATTTGACGAAATAAATATATTTTCCCCCTTATAACAAAACCAAACTGTTTATGATAGATATCTTCAACTAGCTGTGTGCCAGTATATTTTGATCATATTTCCAAAGATAAGTAAGTAAGCAGATGCTGTAGTACTCCATGAATATATTATTTTCTTGTTTTCCGAGTGGAACATAGGGCTTCAGCAGCACACCTCCATTTTGGTCCTGTTTTCTACAGTCCCCCTTAGCTGACTGCACGACTGCCTCCAAACTTTCGTCTCCTCCATGCCACCTGCAGACGAACGACCAACTCGTCGTTTCCCATTCAGGTTCAAATATAGCTACCGCCTGGCGCGTAATGTAATTCGACGGTTTTCCCAGCGTGTGCCCAATCCACCTCCATATTCTCCTACATATTTGTTGAACGATAAGTTCTTGGTTAGTATGTTCCCACAGTTCCTTATTACTGATTCTTTCTGGCCATTAAAGCGAAGGCAGCTGTTGATAAAAATTTTCGTCAGCCTGTTAGGAACGTTTTTCCTGATGCATTGACCAGGTTTTTGACCCGCATAGAAGTGACTGACTTAAGAGTGGTGTTTGAAATCCGAATCTTTTTTATGCTGTGTGCAGAAGACTTCCAAACTAATTTCAGCTTGATAAAGGTGTATCTTGTCTTTTCGGTTCGGGCTGGCTTCAATGTGTTCATCCATTCCACCTGTGGTTGAAACTTTGCTTCCTAGCCGGATAAGTGAAGGAAAGAAGTAACTTCTGACAAGTCTCTTCTGTTGATGGTGACTGGGGTGCTGTTTGGTGTTGATGTTGGTTGTTTGGTCATCTTCATCACCTCCACTTTCTCTATGTTCGCCTGTAGTCTTGTCTTCGTCGCCAGCTTCTTCAGCCAAATTTTTGGTTTACGCCCGAAAGTCTTCGAGTTTGTGTGACATTAGACATCATATATCATCTGTGTAATCCAGATCTTCTGGAGTCTTCTTATCGATCCAACAGATTCCTGTCATCTCTCTCTCTCTCCAAGCACAGTGTGCCGCATAATCCAATCAACCAAAATCAGAAATATCATCGTTGATAGCAGACAGCTTTGTCTTACTGCCGTATTCACTTGAAAGTCATTGCTGAATTTCCTGTTGCTGATCACCTGATACATGGCATTGTCGTATAGCTATTGGATGAGGTTGGTGAAGATATGGGATGCTGCACTCAGTATAGTGTTGGAGCAGTTTCTAAATTACTCAGCGATCAAATCTGGAAGGCTTTTCCAGAATTGATGATGTTGAGTGGTATGTCACGAATCAGGGTTATTGCGTTAATTTAGATGTTATCAAACACCTTTTTATAGAATTTCCCATTAATTACTGATATATTTTTCCAATGTCTAAACCTTACATAGTATGCATATGGCATCTAACAGCCAACTATTTTATTGTCAGTCAATATCTACAGTTGTTACTAATAACAAACATTATATGAGGAGAATTCTTCTTTAAACTGGTAGTCCAGCAGTTCACCAGCTATTAGTCATCCTATCAGAAAGTTTAAAAAAATCTACCAGTAACGTTGTGACATCGACTTTTGGTCTATACAGCAACTTCGGAATTTCTTCTTTACAGGTTAGGTGAGGTGATATCTATTGCAAAATTTGTCACACAACCACGCGGATACAGCCATTCATGTGTATGAAATCTTGCACAGAATAATTAACTAGCTGTCTTATTAATAAAGGGGAATTGGTGTAAATTAAGGTCGAATCCGACTACATATGACAACTGGGTCATTCTTCGCACACAAGACATTAATGTTTAAGGTCACGGAAGTTTGTAACGTGGTATCTATGTAATTTTAAATTATGTCATGTTGTTAGGTTGTATTTGATACTCGAACTGATTTTGTTGGCAAGAGAATGTAGTCACTTTATTATCAAAACAGTGTAAATATCGTTGAAGGAATGCCAATTCAGTTACAGATGAAAAAGGAATATGTTACTTCCTTAGTCTAAATTATCCTCTGATTCCGTATCCAGTTCTACACTACTACAGTGAAATAATAATTAACTAATACACACTAATTACAGAACTAATCACGAGCTGCCATTAAATAGAGAACCATCGAAAAACCTGGGAGTACTGGACAGTTGCTCCGTCCTGGTTTAGATCTCTTCAGCAATACTCAATCACCGAGGATCTTGTGGTTACAAGACAGGTACGTAGACCATTCAGCCAGTGTGGCCCGGTCAAATGGTCCATGAACTTCAACTCCTTCAAATTCGTGACATTTATTGCAACCACTAACCAATACCGTGGGTCGGTGGCACAGCAGTAGAGTGTTCGCCAACCACGCAAGTGGTTCGGGGCTCGATCCCGGCCGATGCACTCCCTCATTTACTTCGCTAAGCCAGTAATAAGACTAGTAAAGAGGGAAGGTTGGATATGAGGCTAGCAACCTCATCCCGTAAAAATAACCACCACTGCTACAGAAACGTCAAGCCTCTAGCTTGAAGCCCTATTTTCCACTGAGAATGCAAAGGAATTAAAAAACTAACCAATACCACAGGTGAGTTTTTTCTTGTCTGACTTGGCGAAAACCGATAATCTTTGATTAACTCGACAGTTATTAAATTTTGAATATTACAACTGACTTTAATTTGACTGTTTATTGATGGCATATTACTATAATCTGAAATAATTCTTTACTTCCCTAAATATCTAAAAATTGTAAGGAAATTTACTGCACTTAGGAAAACAAAACTTTTAAACTGATCTCTTCAAGTGAATAGTTTATCTTACCCCAAAAGTGTGCATCTGGTTTCGAGAGGGATATTCTGGACTTGTTGGTGTCATGTCAACTGGAACTGGTGTCATTGAGCCTGCCATGGAACCCATCATATTCGGTGTAGTTTGGGCTTGTGGAACATAAATCATACTTGCTGTATCACTTGGAGACATAACCGCCCCATATCCCATTACCCCTCCATGTCCATATAGTGTTGTAAACATTTGACCATCTTCTATTATTGTATTTCCAGCATTGGCTTGGCCTGGTATGAAATGGTTTGCACCATAGGTTCCTACAGGGGAAGACCAACCACCATTAATATTTGTTGACATGGTATCTTTTGTCATATCCATAGAAAAGGTTGTAGTTGCATTTCCTGGTGAAACAGCGCCATCGGTACCATTTACATTGCGAGCCATAGCGTATCTCATAGGTCTCCGTCTGACACACACTATTCCGATGATCAAAAATAGGGATATGATGGCCGTTACAGTTATCATAGCCAAAATTATAGTCACATTCAACGTACCATCTCCACCAAAACTCAAGAATCCGATGCTTTCGCTAGGGTCGATAAAGACATTTATTGTTAGCCATGCATCAGTGTGTGAACGTGGAGTTCCTTGATCTTGTGCTCGTAAATGCAAATTGATTGTGCCTGATGACAGTGCTTGAGCCACCCATATTTCACCAGTCGTACCATTCAGATAAAGTGGGCCCGCACGGTAGCCTTTTAAGTCTTCTACCTGTGAAGATGGCTTCTGTCCATTTTTCGCTGTTTTTATTACTCTTGGTTTAGGAGGATTAATAACATTGAGTAGGCCTTCTTCAAGGCTAACACCTTCAATCGTTTCACCTCTTGGACCTAGGAAAAGATATTCCACTCGACCAGCTTCTAGGGAATCTGCGTCTTCCGCTCTTAGTCTACCAGCTAAGCTTCCAGGCTTCATTGCAGTAGTTAGATTTATTGTTCTATCTACAGGAGTTGGGAAAATCCATAGAGGGGCGTTATCGTTTGCATCCAGTACATTTACCCTTAACATTGTGGTGCTTGCAAGTGGCTGAACTCCACGGTCACGAACGCCGATTTTAAGAATATATGCAGGCACTGTTTCTCTGTCCAGCTCTATTAAAGTTTCGATTGCTCCATTTGGTGTAATTCGGAAAATAGGTTGGTCAACTACATGACGTGTTATTCCAGCCTCATCACTGAGGTTCGGATCAGGACCTCCACTGAACTGTTCAAAACTATTCAACATATTTGAAGAAGATCCAATGAACTGGTGACCTCTTGATGGTTTTGTTAGAGCATAGGTTGCGAGTAAGGAAAATTGTACTCTTCCATTGTCACCCTAATGGATAAAAGTGTGAAAAATCAAGATTTTATGATTTATGTACATGCGATTATGAAAATGTACAAGCACTTTTGTAAAAATGATGATCCCCTAGTGAATGTTCAAAGGTGTGCAAACGATTTAGGATAGTATGGTATTATTTTGTAACGTAGCTGATAAATAAGCCTGATCAACTTACAATTGGCAGCCTTAAATAAGGATCTCACTTGCTTACAGCAAATTATTGATGTGTTTCACGTACTCGGACTTGGCTGTACGTTTTGTCTGTGATTTTACTCCTAGAAATTTCGCAGAAATGAGCAAAAGATCAGTCCTTCATGAAACGTGTTGACTTACTGTTGTGAGTGAACAATTATTAGATTTTCTGTCTTGGTTATTTTGATATAGAAGCTGATTCCGTCATTCGCTTAGCAGCACACGTAGAAACAAATCATCACAAACTACTTTGAAGAGTTCTGCTGACAAAACCCTGGGATGTGTGCAGTCATTTAAATACTTAGAGTGCGTAAATATTTTACTAATTATCAGCGAGATAGCGTTAAGTAGTAAAGCAGATTAGAACAGCAAGGGAATTAATGATATAGACCATAGATTCTTGGTGGAGGTGCATTCCCTAAGCAGATTACTATGGCTTAAAATTCTAAATTAATCATTAGTGAATAAGTTTGGTTATTAGATAATAATTATCAATTAACAGTTGTGTTAATGGTCAGCCGAAATAATTGATTCAAATATATTCTATCCTAGATCTTCTTCCTAGGATCCAATTAGAATTAAAAGAAATTTAAATTCAGAAAAGTTAAGGCTTTAATAAACCATATATTGCAGAAGTTCGGAATGGCATCAAGCAGATTAATTCAATTCATGTTCTATCAATTAATTCATTATACAAAAAAATATGGCAGCTCGCTTACCTGATCGGGATCTTTAGCTTCTAACTTCTGGTTTAATTGTGTAAAACGTGGCGCGTTCTCCATCACTGTAAACGCAAACTTATCACTGTCACTCTGAGGTGTGTCAGGTGATTTTGTTGGTGGATTTGTAAATACAGGAGCATTATCATTTTCATCGAGCACTTCAATAGATACAGTTGTTGTAGCTGTGAATTTCGGAGGTGAAACTGAGTCTGTTACAAGCACCACTAACGTCACACTTCCAATTTTCTCTCGATCTAGTGGAATCTGGAAAAACAAAAAGTATTTTTTTATAGGTAAATAACACATTCAACACTACAAACGTGTTACCAAAATTCATTCTCATTTATTAATTCTAATTTATCTCATTGGCCTTCGTTTTGCAATACCAGGTCTAGCATATGAAGTTATTAAGCCGAAATCTGCTTTTCATGGGTGTTACTTTACGTGCTGACCAACACAATTCTCTACCACTTGAGTTCAGTTTTATACGTTAATCAAAAAAAAACAAGCTGGGTAGTGTTCGAAATTCCTTAAGTAACTACCACCAACAGCGGATATACTTATTCTAATTTTAACCATATTTTTTCAAATGAAGAAAGAAAAAAAACAGAAAATACAAATTTCGCCTTAAGTGAGTAATGAAAACACACTTGAGATTTTGTCTACTCAAGTATGCATAAATTATAAGTGACTACAAATTGTTTTGCATCTTGTTATGCAAAAGGAATTGTTAAGTGAATTGTTTTATGCATAAAATGATAGAAATCAAACAAGACAACAGAAATTTTCATCCCACTGAAACACATGATAAGATTATCTTTGGTTGTGTTGGTCATTCACAAGCATACGGTCAGTTGGTATCGACATAAGTATCTTAGAATATAGTAGATTTTAAAGCAAATTATAGTCCTGCTTAAATTGAAGACAGGTGGATTTAAAATGGATAGAGTTCCAGTGGGAATATAGGTAAACTATAGGCCGTGACCATTGTTTTCAGTTACCTTACACTGCACTCCACATATTTATCTTCGTATCAGATATATTTGAAGTAGTTCAACAGGGAATTACTATGAAAGGTTACCAGGTAGAAGCATCATGACGATAACTGACTCCAAAAATTAGATCACCGTCAGATTAAGCGTGAATGAGTATGGAGGAATGGATTGTTTGGCTGATTCATTGGTTAATAGCAGTATAAGGCTTTGTCTCATTTATAATACAAAATATTCCTAAAAACCTCTCTGGATTCAGGCCTTGTAAAAAGGGTGCATTTTTTCAAAGCCCGACCTAAGTTGCAATTCTCGTCAGCTCTTGGGATTGTTTGAAGAGTCACAATAACTTTTGTTGACCAGTGAACTATCGCAAATAAAACTTTAAAATAATGGAGATTTGTTAATAAAGTGTGCGTTTATAGAGTTATGTTCTTCCAGCGAAGCTTTCATCGTCTTTTGAGAGAAAAAATCTTTAAATCTAAGTTATCCAAAAGAAGGGTGAAAGCTTCTTGATATAACTTTCTAGATCTGAGAATGCAGTAACACCAAAAAAAATATTTCCACAGGCTACGACGTACTACTCAACGTTTTAATTGATACTTTGTCTATCAGTAATACAAAACAAGCACATTTCTGATTCAAACACCATAGGGACTTAACTATCGTCCTGTAAAACAAAGATCTTTGTTTGTATGTATACATATATATATTTGTATGAATACAGTATAAGGAAATATGTTTTTATTATTTTTGAGGGATAAACTGATACTGAAAAAAATCCTATTTTCACGACTTTCAAAGCCTTTATCCAGTAGTGAAGGTTAAATAGGATTTCTGGTGTAAGTAGTTCTCAGGCTCTCAGTTTATTAACATCGGTCATTTAGTACTTTTACAATTACACTGTTCCGCTCAGTTCGTGAGAGATATACTGGGATCAACTGAGGTCAGACAGCCTCGTTATTTCAGCCAAAAATTACAGAAACAACTTTTCACGGTATAAATCTGGCTGGCAAACAATTGTCTTTGACGTGTGTGGCGTGCAACTACTGAGATCAATCGGTACCATACACCATCATGCTAAAATTATCGTAGCTTTCATCAGAGTGGTTCTGAATTTGTTCAGCTAAAACTTATAAAGTTCAGCTATACAATTTCGTGATACTTTTGCAGTGTTCACCATATATAAAACAAACCACTGAGCGGTTTAACATTTCTGGTATTTGAAGTTGCTTTTCTGATCTGATATAATAAAGAAAAATTTTATCAGTAAGAAATTGTTTGTTTTGGGATGTTTCGATGTTTTCTTTGATTGAAGAAGGTACTCATATCCATTCATTATTACATCTTGAAATTAAAGTTGTGCGTCGGTGGTTTAGCTGTAAGACCCTCACTAACCATGCATATGGTTCGGGGTTCGATTCACGGTACTCTTAAGCCTCACTAAGCCGGTCGCAGTGCTGGCAAAGACAAGAAGTTGGCCTTGAGGCAAGCAACCTTACCCCTTAAAAATTAACATTACTGCTACCGAAAATTCAAAGCGCTAGCTTAAGGCCTTATATTACATTCGGAACGTACAGAAACTAAAAAGAAGTAATCGAAGTGATAACAAACAGGTGAGTTTTTTTTTATGCATCTAAATACAATGAAAATAACAAGCGGGTCAAGCCTATGTGGAGCTACTTTATTTCATCATTATTTCGTCAACTGTTTACAATGTAGGTGGTGGAATCAGTAAATTAATTTACTGTCAATTTTCCATTGACCTATGTAATTCGATAATTCTTCAACTTTGTTACCTTGTTGTCATCTGTGTCGTCTTTTTGGTGTGTATTCGGTTACACTGCATATATATAATTTCACCTATTGGTTGTATTTAAATAATTTAACATCGCCATTCAAATATATACAATGATTTTTTTGTTTCCTTCACGTTCCCCAATAGAACATAGGGCTTCAAGCCTCTAGCTTGAAGTTTCTGTAGCAGTGTTTAATTTTACAGGATGAGGTTGCTGGCCTCATGCCCAACCTTTCCTCTTTACCAGCATTATTTCTGGCTTAGTGCGGAGTGCACCGGCCGAGGATTGAACCCCAGACCATGTGCATGGTCGGCGAGCGTCCTAACGGCCATGCCACCGACGCACTCTACAATGATTACGTTTGATTATTGTTTTGCATTTATTTCCTTAACTAACAGAAACACGTTAAAACTGTTTTAGACATTGATTGTTATCCCTAACTAGGTTATAAGCAGTTGATAAGATGGTGACAAAAAAATAGGACTATTTGTCCCTGCTACATTTATTTTTATTGTTTTGTTCAAATCATACCCAGTGTAATGGTTGAGAGTTAGTCGATGAAATAGTTGGAGAGTAAAGCCTAGAGATAACATCTCAATGTAAAGAATCCCATTTATTAGGAAAACGAAAAAAAAGTGTATACAGAACTACCACTCACTACTGCTACTCCATCGATCCAGTCTTCAAAGATCTATTTAATTCCTCTGAATCTGAGTAGAGAATTTTCCAATATAAACTGTAACTGGACGCTTCAGTCAGATATCACCGTAATTTTTGGCTTTAGACAAAAATGGGATATTTTGATCCCTTGTACAATCTCAATATTTTGTATAGTCGAGAACAGAGGGATACAAGTGAAGCAAAACTGAGGTTTGAACTGGTGTTAACTAGCTTTAGTACTACCAGTGATGCATAAAAAAGAATAACAATTTTATATATTTTGGTTGTAAACTATTTTGTTTTTGTGGTCTTTTATTATCCGCTTGACATAATTCATATGCATATCATTTATTTTAATGAGATTGACAAATCCTACTTATCCATCATAAGTAATCTTATATATATATATATATATATATATATATATATATATATATATATCAGTAGCCTTATCAACCAATACAGTGCAATTTGCAGCTTGTCTACTTGTTTGTATTTCATAATTATGGTGTTTATTCTAGCTGATCATACTACTACTACTACTGTCTGCTAATTCTCCTTCTCTCTCTCTCTCTTTATCATTGAACTTGTAGAAAATGAAAAAAGGCATTAAGCAAAGAAGGAAATGAGAGTCAAAATGAAGAGAAAAAGAAAAATAAACGAAATTAAATCTCATGTTCTATATTTCAGTGTTAGTTAAATTTGTTTTAATATATTCAGAAGGGAAACGAATTAGAACAACAGCATAGCCTATAGGCAATTCAATTGATTTATGAACAATCTGGAAATCTTTTCTTCGTGTATATTTACGGCTTTTCCAGTTGTCTACCAGTTAGCATATTAGTAGGGTAAGAAGAAAACAACTTAGTGGTATATGGTGAATATAAAGCTAAATAAGTAATCATATTTATTGCGAAAAAAAATGTAGGTCATTATTTATCAAGTGATTACGATCTGCGAAGAGGAGATGGAAGAATAAAGGAAAGAAGGAAATTAATGTGACATATTTATTTAGTATATCCTATAAGAGAAAAGCTTATGAAACTTAAACTATTTGCAGAAATTTGTGAATATCGAATCTGCTATCTTGTTATATCATTTTGCTGAAGACTGATTGAAGGATACACGTCTCTAGTATCATAATCATGAATACTGTTACTAATAAATAAGTGCTTTTCAGGAAGCTCAAAAATAAAACCTATGAATTGCAATGATTTTGCGAATAAACGGAATAACTCATAGAATAAAGACACTCCATGGAGCACACATTACACCAAACTCAATGCCTTAAATTGAACCTTTAAGAAAGGTATTTGTAGTTTTAAAATTCAGGCAAATTATGGGTCCGTGTAAGTAAACTACCAGGAGTTGAGTTGTCTTCTCAAAATTCTTAAAATGCCTCAGTCATCAGTTCGTCTACAGTGAACCCTATTGAGAAATTTCATGAGTACTGAATGTAGAACAGTTCAGAAATACTGTCGTCTAACCACAAAGTCTATTTATGATTGGGTGGGTTTCGCTTCTTCAATACTCATACAAAGTAATCAAAACGAAGAAATAAATGCCCACGATTTGAAAAATGCACATGCATATCTACGTAGAGACGAGGGTGTCAAATCGAGAGTCGGGAAGGCGAGAAACACATTCATCAATTTGAAACCAATCTGGAAATGTTCGTCACTCAGCCAGAATCAACAACAAAATTCCGTTGGATTTTCAATACAAATGTCAAATCAGTCAGTTCTTCTATACGGATCAGAAACTTGGAGGGCGGGTCACAAAGAATATTTCCAACAGCCTGTTGCAGACCAGACCT